GGTTTCAGCAGGATCCTTAAATGGATAAGAGACAACCAACATGACATATAATGTCACCCACATGACCATATATCTGTTATCTTGCTATCATATATATTCTTGCTTGAATAAAACATTTGCATAAATGTAAGAAGCTATTTCCACTCAAGATTGTATTTATTTGAGTAAAATATAGAAGCTCCTCGTGGTTTCACCAAAAGTCAATCAGCCACCCTTTGGTTCAAAATGTCCGCACTTTTACTTTTAAATTGATATGAAATTTCATCCTTAACCTCTATGTGACCTGCAAATGACGTATTATTATTTTTTAAATATTTTTTACTTTTCATTTTTTTCCTTTTCTTTATGGTGCTCAAATTACTTTAATTTAACTATTATGGGTTTTTTTACCAATTTCAAAACTTTTGAAACACTTTTAAAATTTTAAAAAATTATCATCATCCATCTTTCTCTTTTCTCTTTCATCCTTTCTCAATCTCTCTACTCGGAGAAATTTCCAATTTTGTGATGAATTTTAAAAAAATTCTACAAAAGGGGTAATTTTGGTGGGATATTCCGTAGGGGGGTCTTCGCATTTCGCGAGAATTTTTTCTAGAAAATAGTAAGACCTAAATGCGAGCTCCTAAATGTTTTTAAAAAAAATTCTTCAAATAGCTCGCATTTGATAAATTTGACCTCCAAAAATGGTATTTAATTTTTTTGTTAGATTTCGCATTTATAAGTATGACTTTCAGAAAATTAAATTCAAACTTGCTAGAAAAAAATTTTAAAATGAAATTTACGAGCTCCCAAAAAAATGTAAAATTAACTGTAAATGTTGTTTGTTTTGTAGAATTTGTCTTTACTAAAATGCTGTCGGTAGTACAATCTTATTTTAAAAGCTCTACTAAATTCTTATATTTCGGAGAAATGTTAGAGAAATGTTATTTAAAAATCTGTAATTAGCAGAGGAATAAATTTTTTTTATTTTAAAACTTGCACGTGGCTAAAGTCATCAAATATGTGCTCTAAAAAAAATCATATTCACAATAATCTTTTTAATATAATTTACTATACATGCATATTTCTTTTGTATTAAAAAAAATTGGTAATTGTATGGTTGGAAATACGTTATTTTATTATAATACATTTAAATGGTGAAAAAAGTACACATGCACAGTTCTTTCTATTTCGTATATCAATGTAAAAATAGAATGAAATTGTTAACATGTAAGGTGTTGACTATATTTTATGAATAAAATACTAACTTTTTTTTCCTTTTTTATCAAATAAATTTTTTTTATCAAATTCTAATTTTCCTTTGTTATTAATGAATCGTATTTATTTGTTGACACCGATGAATATTAGTTATAAGAATCTAATAGTTAATAGTCATTAATATCTGGATGAATTTCAATTGTAATTTTAGAAATTTCATAACGCAATGTTAATTTAAAAAATCGTATAAGTTATTTTTATGAAGTGCATGTTATTTGTTTGGTAGTTGAAAAGGAAAAGAAAAAAATTAAATCAAATATCTAGCGATTAAATCTTGTGTGTTTTACCTTTTACAATTATTTGCAAGATTACTATTTTGATTAAAAATATAAAGCGATAATCAAGGCAAATTTATTGTCATGCAAAAATTCTAAAAACCCTAAGTGCTGAAGTCGTAAAACACTATATTGTAAATCTTAGAAACCAAATCCTTGTAAACCCTAAAACATTAAATCAAGGTTGTTGGGTTCATTAAAATCCATTAACAAATATTTGTGCGGCACGATAGGATTACTATTTTAATTAAAAATCTAAAGTCCTAATCAAGGCAAATTATTGTCAAACTAAAATCCTACAACCCTAAAACCGAAAGTGCTATTCTCCTAAAACACTAAATCTTGATCTCTAAAATCCTAAAATCCTGAATCCCTCAAAATAGATGGAAAAGTTGTGAGAAAGGGAAAGGAAAACGGGTGTGCCACTTGCTGAAGAGAGAGACAGATCCAAGCCTCGGATCCGAGGGTTGAATATAGATCCGAGGTCGGATCTTGAGGATCCGAGGTCTTCCTATGATGGATCCGGGGTCGGATCTTCTGACCTCGGATACACTCCTCCAGAAGTACAGACGAGGGATCGGATCTCCCTTTGCTCTCACGGATCCGAGCTCGGATCCGTGCCATTAAATTTCCAACTTTTTCGCTTCTTTCCTTTTTCCTTCATTTTTGCTTCTAATTTCTTGTGTACTTTATTCTCTGGACAATCCTTACACTTGTTTTAGCTCGTGCATGAACTTCATATATCGATATCCATCACAATTTCACAAAATTAATGCATTAATCCACTCATTTAATCCACTCATTAATCCACTCACAATTTCACAGAATTGAACATTTTGGCCATTAACACATATATTGGAAAATATTTTAAAAATTTTTTACAGAGTTTCCCCATAAAAATGGACAAAACTCCCTGTCAACAACCTCAATTTCAAGAAAATTAACCACAATACAACATTTTCAAATAAAATTCCAACATTTTTAAGCCATAGACAACTCAAATCATGCATTTCAAGACACAATCCCCATAAGATAAAGTAATCCCTCACCCACACTTAAATTTAATAATGTCCTCATTGTGAAGAAGGTAATAGAAACTGAAACTTCCGTCAAAATAAGTGGTGATTCAATTTGAAGCCATTAATCCTTACGATCATCCAAATTCGAACACAATGAAACAAAAGAGTACAAAAAATCATGAGTAGCACAAGAGAATCCAAAATGAAAACTACAAAGTTTAAACCGAACACAATAAAAGAAAAATTACAGCAACAGAAGATGTAATCAGCTAAAGATCTTCATGGCTGCTCAGAACGAGGGTCTACTGCCTCCTCATTTCCATGAGGACCCTGTGATGTACCAATATGCCCCTCCTCCTGCTGAGGCGTCGGAGTAGGTGACCGGCGGATATGGAAATGATTCTCGATCGCACGAAGACGACGATCATGTCTGTCGAGTCGCTCTGTCTCTGTCATCATCCTCTCGGTCTGGTTAATGCGCTCGACGACTCGTGTCTCCATACAGCAGATGGCATTGAGGAGCTCTTGCCACTTGAATCGCGGCGGAGGTGGTGGTCGTGAAACGGGTGGAGGAAGAGTCTGCTGTGCCCCTGTCTCTTGAGCTTCTGGTTCCTGCTGAGTGTGAGGTGGGGGCTGTGCAAAAGTCGAAGCTTCTCCAGTGTTTCGAACTAGAGCAGCTCCAAAATCTGTAGAGATACTCAAGAATTTGAGTATTGAGACACTGATCTCGTCGGTGGACCTAGTGACTATGGCTCGCTCGATTCCAAGAGGAACCTTGAGCTTCTCAAAAATGAGGGATAGCAGTCAAGGGAATCCAAAGCAAGTCTCGTCAGCCCTCATGCGAGCTGTGGTCCACATGTAACTGATGATGATGCTGGGCAAAGGAATACCAGTCAACTGCCCACCCACACCATGCATCATCTTATCCAAGAAGTACAGGTCACTATTGCGGAGTTCTCGTTTTCCACTCTTCTTGGGTACCACATTGAAGGCGAAGAGATAGAAGATCAAGTGGTACCTATGCTCGAAGGAGTCGGCATATACGGTGAGCTTCTTTGAACTTCCCCGCTCCCTATATTGACCCTTTAGACGTGCTACCGCTTCTCCCACCTGCCAAGGGTCGCGTGCCTTGAATTCCTTAGTCAATTTAACCTCCACTCCTTTGTCTTTGAGTTTGGCGATTTTGGCGACTGTATCCTGGTTAAGAGCCACTCTCTTTTCTCGAACCCAAGAGACGATGAGGTTGCCACTGTGACTCTGTTTGTTTTCTACATTGACGTAGAACTCCCGGACCAGGTTGGGGTAGTAGTGTTTTGGCAATTGAAGGATGTTCTCCCATCCGAGTTTCTTGAATGCCGTAGAGATGTGGTAGTGCGCATCCACCTCCGGTGCCAGGTGCTTTTCAATGATAATTTCCTTATCTAAACCTGCTTCGTACCACTGTTGATTCTCGAGTGACGTGAATCTAGTGGTGTCATAATGTGGAAGTGGCTCGTCGCGGCTAGTGAATGCGGTCTTCCGACGAGACCGAGGTGGTGGCTCAGGCGAAGGAGATTCTTCCTCAGTCGACTCTTCATGTGAGAGAGTGCGTTCCTCGCTTGAAGATGGTGTAGAAGTACGAATACGAGCCCTCCTTGTGTAGCAATCTATTTGTAGTCATAATTTAAAAGTTTTAAAAAAAATTTGACAGAGTTTCTCCTATAAAGCGGTCATAACTCGCGGTCAATCAAACATAAAAACTCCCAGTATCCTGCATATGCAAAAGCATTAACACATATAACACACCATCCGAGCATTCCCTTAACAAATATATCAACAAATCAATGGATAGGGTATGTAGCGATAAATGAATAAAACTGTTGGGCTGCACGTTTAAACTAGTTAATTCAATACTTATCATAGTCAAGAACAAATCATGCATTTGACAAATGAACAATGTCAGTCAATAATGTAATTGTTTGAAATAAATCCTAAATCGAACACAAATGAACTAGATTGAACCCTACGCCAAACTAGAGTGCACTGACATGAGTTTCCAATTTCTAGGAACTCAATCAAATCAAGACTTATAATTCGGACAATTTCTCCTATTGTGACCCGTCTGATGACAGTTTCGACATCTTCTTGGTTCGTCTGGATCCCTTTCATCCATCTCATTCCGAATTCTGCTAGCTCGAACCCGCCCTGCCCGACGTGCAACAAACTTGCTCCTGTCTGCCTGCAGCTCCCATCCAGGATGGAGCCAAGTATCTTGATGCGGCAGTGGGTTAAACTGCCCTGAATACTGCACGGCCCACATCGTTTTGGTAAATTGCTGATCCACTAGCAATCCCGGATTGTCACCTCTATTCCTGCACACCGCCAAAACTTGTGAACAAGGAAACCTGTAATTCTGTCACTTTCCACAAGAGCATGCGTTATAAAAAAACCTGACAGTTTGCGTATTGCCTCATTTACCATCGACACGCCGGCCTGTGATAACCTTGTATACGCCCGATGGGCTATCGAACTCAATGACTCTGTGGGCGCCTGCCTTCTGCTCAGCATTCTTAAAACGCTGCCATATCTTTGGGGGAAATGGATTGCGACAATGTGAAGAATCTTCCCTTCTTGTCTTAAATAACTCAACTGTCCAATGGAATGTCATATCAATGCATGCACGAATTGGCAAATGGCGTGCCCCGCGCAAGACATTATTATAACTTTCGGATATGTTGGTATTTAGAATACCCCAACGATGGCCATCGTCGTGTGTTAGGCACCACTTTTCAGGACTAATGGCTGACAGATAATTCCAAACATCTGGAAACATGTTTCGTAGTTCTCTTCTGAACATCCGCCACTTGCGCAATTGTCTTGCCCTTCCCATTACCCAACACAACTTTTTAAGGTGTAAATCTTTGAAGTGTGTCATCAAATTACTCCTAACATGTCGCAGGCAAAACCTATGGTAGGCCAAAGGTTCCTCCCAATAGTCAAAGTGTGTCATGGTATAGATGATACCATTGTGGCTATCGGAAATGACACAGATAGGATGTCGATCAAGTGCCACATTATATCTTAATTGTTCCAGGAACCACGACCAACTGGAAATCGTCTCCTCATCAACCATGGCATAAGCAATTGGCAGAATCTTGTTGTTCGCATCTTGAGTGACTGCAATAAGGAGTTTGCCCTTGTATTCGCCACGCAAATGAGTGCTATCAACACATATAATCGGCCTGCACATGTGGAATGCTTCAATAGCCGGTCCAAAGCCCAGAATACATAGTTAAAAGTTTTAACTCGATCCGAACTATCCGAATGATGTGACCATTCCACCACGGTGCCTGGATTGGATTGCACCAGGGCATCGAGATACTGTGGTAGCTCGGCAAAGTTCGCTTCCCAAGATCCAAACACAAGCTCAATTGCTTTACGTCTGACATACCAAACTTTTTTGTAAGACACATCAACCTTCAAGTTTTCTTTAACGAAACTTAGTATGTTCTTGACCTTCAACCCAGGATCATTTTCAATGCTACGGAGTATGTGCCTTGAAATAACGGAAGCCGTCAGGCTTGTATTGTTATTTCTAATCATGTCGCCTAAGCAGTTATGGTCATTGACCCATTTTGTAATTTGCCACATTTCATGAGTCTTTTTCTTTACGGTTCTAACACACCAGTCGCATGGTGGATACGATGGCGCGGTTGAAGTGGAAGGAGTTCTTTCAATTGATGATTTGCATTTAGTAAACCACGTATTACTCTTACTCTCAATAACTCTGAACTCCCTATTATGATTGATCGACCACATCCTAACTGTCCGACTGAGCTACTGCTTACTCTCAAACCTCATATGGAGGTGTATATTATTATTCTCCTCATTGAATGTGACAATACGCTCCCATCCCATGTGGAGAAATATGGCATGATGGCCCTGAATCTCCAAAACTTCGAATCGAATCCAAGCCATGAAAATATTCTTGGGCACCCATGGACCCTGATGTGAGTCTTGGTTCTAATGAATCCATAGATCGATCATTATGCATATAGTGAGATGCCGATGAAGTCTCTGGAACGATTGAATTAGAACCGAAGTTAAACTTTGTTGAATCCATGAATGCATGTACAAGCGACATCATTGGACCAACATTAATTATTGGTCCAGTGAATACGCTATTAACTACAGGCATTTGAACGATTTCTTCTTTCTCGATATAAATCTCCGCCATGTATGAAACTCTTTCGATCCAAAGATCGTACATTACCTCAAGAGTTTCATCATCCACCACTGCGGAAACAGTATATTTGGAACTCTCCAACGGTTGACGAAGAAACAATTTCAGCTTGAACATCCTTTTATCGACCCCAACATAGTGATAAATCCTGTCAACCAACTCTCCGTATCAAATTCTATGCCTCAAAGTGAATGTCCGGTTGGAAGTACGAGGCAAATAACAAACAAAGTCACCCTCGTAATGTATTTCTCCTCCCCAATATAGGTTTACCCGCAGAGATCTTTCTACAGACATGTCTGCGAAATGAATCCCTATTTTGAGGACAATAAATTAGAATTAGTAGTCCAAGAGTCCAAACAAAATGAAAGAGGGTGGACTCTAGGTCGAAATTGGCACTATTAAATAGACTAATTTCGATTCAAATGTTTATGAAAAAATTGAAAATAGGTATGAAATATGCTATAAATGACGATATGAATAGCCTAAAACTCCCAACGAAATTTTTAGAAAATTTGGACAGATTCTCCCCTAAAAATAGACTAAAACTCCCTGCCAACCAATCCATAAAATAGACTAAAACTCCCTGCCAACCAATCCAAACAGGGTATATATGAAGTTGTAATGACATTTGCCACACTACATATTATCAAGAGACCCTATAATTTTCAAAGTACAAGTATAAGAAAAGTACGAGAAGTTATATATATTTGGGCTCCACATTCATTGACTACAAGTGGGCACTTGCCACCCAAATTTGGTACATAACCCTTGCCCCCACATTAAGTATTACAGACTTTGCCTACTACGTGCTTATCATTTTAGAGAATTATTTTGTACATTAAAATAGTCAGAGATACTGTATTATTATCAATTTAAATTACACAAGACTTATTAAAGTACTAATTATTGTAATTATTATCATTTCAAATTATACAGAGCGTATTAAAGTACTAATTATTGTAAATGGCTTTGATAACTACATTAGTGAAAAATAAGTACTTGTCAAATATATTTATATACACTTGTTAAAATACGACAATAGTGTCTAAATGTATATAAAAAATAATTAAATGGCATGCTAAAACTGTTAAAGCAACGGAAATGCATCCAAGACAACTTCAATGCTCGGCATCAATTTTTTGGTCACGCTAATATATATTGTAATTTTAGCAAATTTTATTTTTTCATTTTAGTTCAAGGCCCTTATTTTTCTAAAATCTTCTCTACGAATGCAACTCTAATGTACGATTTACCCATAGCTACCCTAGAAAAATTCGTTTCTCATTTGCATGTCATGTTTAATTCCCTTAATTAGAACCCATTTTGTATTTTAAATGGAACTTGCCCCTTTTTTCTTTTTTCTGTTTTATCTTCTTCAACACAAAAAAATAGACTTTTTTTTAAAACGCTATTTCAAGGAGAAATTTCTAAAATTATGATGAATTAAAAAAAAATTCTACAAAATGGGGCATTTTGAGTATGGGATTCGGTCCAAAGGGTCTTCGCATTCAACAAATGCGAGCTCCGTGAGTTCGCATTTGCTGAATGCGAAGTCTCCTTGAATTTTTGACCAACGAAATCCAAAAAAAAAAACAAAAAGATAACCAGACCTCGCATCCATAAATGCGAGGTCACTGAAATGCGAGGTCAGTGAAAAGAAACAGAGCATAAGATCTGCTATGTCCGCGAACAAATCCGAGCTCGGATAATTTACGGATCCAAGCTCGGATACTTTCTGGAATCCCTCGGATCCAACAGGCTTCGGATCCGTCTCAACAGATGATCAGACGAGCCCTCGGATCTGAGTGAAGAACTATGGATTCGAGGTCGTATCACCCCCTCAAAGGGTCCGAGGTCGGATCCGTCTGGGCTGAGTCGGATCCGAACTCTCCTGCACTAATTGCAGAAACTGCAAATAAACTACAAAAAATTGGAAACAGAAAAATTGCAATAATTCGAAAAATGTAACGTATATCCTCAAATCTACCACAAAATTTGCAAAAATAAGCACAACCAACATCAAATTTAAACCCAAATTTCACAACAAATCTGAACTTGCCGTTGGATTCAAGTATTAATTAAACTTAAAATGCTATAAGTGAGGCATTGCAAATGGAAAAGGCTCACATTTATGCTGTTTGGCAGTCGCAATGGGAGGCAATGCTGGCAAATGTTGGGTTGGCAACGGGCTGTGGCTTCCGGCGGAGCAGAACAACAGAGATGGTGGCGCCGCTCCTCCTATTTCTGCCGTTCGGCGTTTGGGCAGCACAGAATAGGACAAATGGTAGCCAGCTCCGGTCTTTGGATGCTTCGAATGTGCAGAACCCGGCTCTGTTTTCTTTGTTTTGCTGTTCGAATGCTCAGTTTTCTTCGCAATGGCTGTTTGACAGTTTTTTTTTTTTTCAAAACGAGCCTCAATCTTGTTTTTTGCTAGCTTGAGCCCGCGAATTGCTGGGTTTGGTAGTGAGTACTGAGCTCGCATTTCCCGAATGCGAGCTCAGTCAGTGAGCTGGCATTTCGCGAATGCGAAGACCCATTTCAAGAACACGAGCCAAAAATCGCCCCAGTTGTAGAATGTCTTTTCTTTTTCATCATAAACTAAGAATTCACCCCTCTACTCGCCACCATCGCCCGGCACCAGCCAACACCATTTGCCACCATCCTTTTCTCTTCTTTCACCTCCTCCCCACTTCCCCCTTCTTTCTCCACTTTCTCTTTCCCCTCTCTCCTTCTCTTTCCTCCCTTTTCTCTCTCCACTTTCCCACCCCTTCCCCTATTTCCCTCTCCTCCATGGTGACCAGATTTCTAGAGAAAAGATCTGGCTCAGTAGAGAGAAGATCTAACCAAATCTTGTCGCAACCAGAAATCTGGTCAATGGGAAGATGGGAGATAGAGGGGCACAGACAGAAAATTGGGGAGAGGAAAGAGGGAAAAGAGGAAAAGGAGGAGGTAGGAGGAAGTGGGGGAGAAGGGAGAGCAGAGGAACGGGTGGTAGAGGATGGCAGATGGTGGTGGTAGTGGCGGTGAAATAAAGAAAGAGAAGAAAGAAAGAAAAAAGTAGAAAACAAAAGGAAAGGAAAACGCAAAAAAAAAAAAAACAAAGGAAAAAAAAGAAAGAAAAAATTAAAAAAAGAAGAAATTGACGAAAAAGGTACCATGTATTTTACCCTATTTCTTTTGTTGGGATTAATCTTCTTTCCTAAGTTTTTTTGGTGAGAGATTCATCTCTTTTACAATTTCCTAGTGAGATTTCTTCTTCCAATATCTTTCCAAGAAGAGTTTTCTCATCTTTTAAGATTTCATTATGTGAATTTTTTTTTTGTGAAATCTAAGAATTGTTAGGCTATATCTAAAGTTTCTCACTTCTAAATAATTTTTCTTTGGGTTTGAAATATTTTTCTATTAGATATGACTATTAGAACATTTGCACAAATCTATTTGGCTGCTATAATCAATCTAGATAGAAGACATTTTGATGCTTAAATTTTATCTTTATCTTTATTAGCTTTTTAAATCCGCTTTGTAGATTGATTTTCAAATCTATATGCATTCATTGCAAATTTGATGTAATTTCTATTATTAGTGTCAATTTAACGCAATTAAATTTTGTTTTTGATCAAAAAAACGTCAGTCGTGATGATGGATAAAATTACCTTGATTACCCAATTCAAGAAGTTAAGCTGATGGATAAAATAACAAGATAACAATAAAGAAAGAAAACATCATTCTTATTTATTTGTTTATCCTTTCACCCCTCCCCGCACCTTCCCAAGTACAAGAAAACATCATCCTTAATTGAAAAGAAAAACACTTAAAAAGAACCTTATCCTCAGTTGAAGAAAAAGTATAAACAAAATTAATTGACCATGTAGAACGAATATTGCACGTATGTGAATAGAAAAGTGAAGGCAGAATTTAGCCCCCGCGTTCTAAATTTCCATCTCGAATGTACTAATAACTCGTACCATTGGTACTAATAACTTCTAGCTTTAGTATTAAATTTCTACAAGTTGTGGATAGAAAATGGAGAGGTGTGAATTTAGTCCATCCTAGGTATGAATTATCCTTTGTACAAACTTAATTACGTAGCATTATCATACTAAATGTCAAATATTTATTGATGGAAATCTTGACTGGAAAAAGATCGGTGGATGCAGAATTTGGCGATGGCAATAGTACTCTGTAGGTTGGCTGAGAACTAAAGATTAAGAGTAAAAATGGTTTTCTTGATATTCTGGACCAAAATGCTGGTGCATCATGTGGCCCGTGAGGAAATGATGCTATTGCAAAGAATTGCGTTAATCTGCACCAGTCGAAATCCGGCTGATTGTCCAACTATGGGGGATGTAAGTATCAATTT